GCGATGTGAACTGCAAAGATCAAGTCATTCTTGGTTATTCTGGCTTTCTGAACCTTCGCTCCGTGCTGCATCTTCATCACATCCCCAAACGAAGACAAGGGGCAAAAAGGGGACTGACTTCACTACTACGCAGAAATGGACACCTGGATCTTCATGCCCGTTTCCAAACGAACTTCCTTGAAGCCGTAGCCTTGCAGCCCATCTTCCACACAGTGTTGCGGACCCTCGCTCAGAGGAGCCAACGAAATGGCATAGTGGTATCACATGGCTCCAAAATTGTCCTGCCCTGTCTCATTCGAGGACAAGGGTTCTCCAGGTCAAGCAAGGTATTGCAAATTCCACTGGGAGATGTCAGGCCCCAGTTTGATAGTCCAAACCAAGAACGGGCGGCAGTCTGTCAGCCCTCCCATGTCACCATACGGAGTTGAGCGCTCCCCCCCACATGGAAACAAGTGTTACACATGTTTGCCAGCATACACTCCGATTAACTATCATGGAAATGGAACGTCCCACCCGTATAAGCAGGGTGTTTTCCTTTTTTTCGACATCCATGTTGTTTCTTTAGAAGTGCATGCGTATATGCCAACCAGTACCTCTGCCGCAGAGAGCTTCTCGAACAAAGAGCATGGACGTCCGTCTATATCCTCACTGCCAGCGAGACCGGACATCCCACAGAAGGCAGTTGAACTCGTGTTTTTGACTGCCTGTCGGTCATGCGAATTGGTCCTTCGGAAGCTTTCACGACAGCCACCGGAGCTGATGTTTGATCTCGGGATTGATGCACATCTTGGCGCTTTGCGTCGTGCCCCTCGTGCGTCGTGAAGAAGAAAGGAGTAGTCAATTTTCACAGTAGCGTGTACCATCGGACCAATCTGGCCTCCCATGCCAAAAAAGCTCTCAGTCGAGAGCAAAGGGGATGGGTGGCAAGTGAATTAAGAGCCGACCTGATGCTCACCATCAGCAGAATGGAGCACGTTTCAATATCAAATTCCTTTTCAAAGTAACCGGTCGATCCCACAACCTGAGGACTTAGGCTTGCAAAGGACTTAGACGCCACCCGAACATGTTGCCTAGGTTAGGCCTGAATCTGTAGGGACTGCTGTAGGCTTGCTGTTGCCAGTTGTTACCTTGGGAATTTCCGAATCATCCAATCATGGAGAAATCCGGCCCTGCCCATGATTTTCCTGCTGTTCCCTGCGTCGTCCCTCTTCCAGCGAGTGGACCGTCACTGACGCCCAGAGTCGATTGGATCGACTGCTTTTGACCCGTCAGTGAGGACGACGACGAGGACGAGGAAATCTAGCATTTCAAAGTTATAAACATGCATAGATTCCTCATTGCCACTTGAGGCTGGCTAGAACTATACAGCTTATTTCTGGGTGCTAATGACAACCTGACCCATGTTCATACAGGGATTTGAGCAAATGCCTTAGGAGAATGCCTGACAAAGTCTGGAATACAGAATTGCATGGCTATGCTTGTTGAGCAGCTTGCGCTGCAAAATGTTTCGACGCACCATCTACAAGTGTGGGAAGAAGGCATTTCAGTGACTTGATTACTCATCTACAGACTCTAGACTCAACTCATTATATATACATCAGTTGGATCTCCAACTGAACAAGGGCCCAGTGGATGATGGTTCAGTTTGCAGGCCGACATCCCCCCCAGAAGAGATGTTTTTGTTTATGGCTCTATATACAGGTTTACTGGGACAAACCCGACATATCAGGGACCCTCAACATGTGGTTGTTAATCACCTTGAATCACCCCGAAACCTGTCCAGGCGCTCGTCTCCATGATTCAGCTGGGCGCCCACACGAAGAATGTAGAACAACAACCAGTGTCCAGTCGAAAGTGATGTATGTTCCACATGGCTTCCATTCCAATTTCCGATGTGTAACAGCCAAATCTTCAACGAAGTCAACGAAACGATCCCCAGAAATCACCACGGTACCAGGATGGTACCAGGGTACGCTTTTGGCCTTAGAAGGAGGCTGCTCTCCAATCACCCAGAAACCTGGCAACTTCATCGGCTCGCATCGACTTCGCTCCCTTGCATGGACGGAGTCGGTCGAATTACCCAGATGTGGCCTGAAAAACCCTCCGAACGTCAGAACCACATCTGGCTGGAGCATGTCCTGCCAGTTCACGAGTCGCGGTGGCAAGCTCCAGCCCAAAACTGAGGCGTATTGGCTCTATAGGACTCGCTGGTCCATGAGTTGCAAGTTGTGCCAATGGCCATTTCACACAAATAGCTGCTGCCGGTGCTACGGATGATTCGTTACTTCAATACCACCCAGGGCCGCAGCTAGGCTAAAAGAAAAGATCCAACAGCCTAGACCCCCAGTCAAACCCGAAATGGGGGAGTTGTAGTTAGTGCAACATCCAAGTTCAGTTCATCCCTCCGTCTCGTGGGAAGCGAATCTTGTTGATGGCGAACATACCAAGAAGTCATACCTGGCCTATCTAGCCAGTGTTGGAATCTTCATGGTGTTGCGAGAACCAAACTTTCTGACCACCTGCACCACTTGCACTATGATGTTCATCGTTTTCAACGAGATGACATCAGCCCAAGGTACACCGTGGCATCAAAGCACCGTGGATCGATTTCCAACATGTCATTAAACATTCAACACGTTCTGTTTTCAAATCCCACTGTCACCAGACATGTTCATTGTTTACGATGTTGTTGACCATATTTTGGCCATTTACCAACAGTCTGAACATGTCATTTCCCTCTGTTCGGTGATGTTCGTTCCCTTCTCGTTCCGCGTTCGGGTCGTTGGGCGGTTCGGCGTTCGCTCGTTCCGCGCATCCCATGGTTCCATTGGCTCGATCCAACCTTCCCAGAAGATAGTTGGACGCTGAAAAAAACATCCCCAAACACCTTCGAGAGGGTTGCAGTGGATGGGCCTGGAGGCCATCGCTAGTAGGTTGGAGGCCACCGCTCCTAGGTTGGAGGCCATCGCTATTGGTACCTCAAACCGAAGATGGTTGTTGTTTAAATATGCAATTATTCCATTCAAAATCTCACTTACAGATCTTGCAGTATATAATTCGGGTAATTCATTCATTTAAATATCCTTCATGGATCTTCAATTTATAAAGGATGATCACCTTAAGGATTGGATCCGTAAGCCTCGGCCACGACGTACCTCGGTCCCACTCAGCTCTCGCCACCAGCAATGCCGCTGGGTTGGCCGTACTTTCATCGGTCTTCCATCCTGCTTCAGAAAAATCATGGCCTATTTCGGAGGATCAATATAATTGCATGTATAGAGCACTATCGCTCTGCCTATTCCTTTTGAAGCGGAACATTCGCAGTGCCTGATCACAAGAGTCGGCTCATTCCTCATCACCGGTCCCAGGTGAATTCGCATCTTCACCATTTCGCCCCTCATCTCAGCTCTCATCACCGCTGCTGCGCCCAGTGACCCGAGAACTCCTCGGTGGGGAACGAGAGGCGACGTTCTTCAGGCCGCGATCGGCAGCCGCAGCCGCGACCGGTTTGTCTGCGTGCACCGATTTGACTCACCGAATCGGATTCATGTGCGTATCTGGCACAGTCGATCGGATTTTTGGTCAAGAGATGTCAAGAGGAATTGCTGAGAAAAGGGCATCCACAAAACGATCAAGGGAAACCATCAGACTTGGAATCAAACACTTTCAAATGAGATTTGGAACCTATTTGTCTGCAGCCCCGCTGGCATCCGGCCAGTGCTTGGGAACTCCGGCGCCGACTCCGGCCTTTGCAGCAAATCATCGGTCCGTTCCCAAAAGGGCCAGCTCTTCCATCGTCCAGTGCTGACGGCTGAGGGGTGCCCTGGACGCGTGGTTTTTTCCACAAACAGCCTCCACACTTTCCACCGCCAGGCAGGGCTGGAAAGTAGGCCACCATCCTCCAGGGTTCAGGAGTTTCAGGCCCCCGACGTCACCCGCCGCAGCTCCCTGCGGCCGAGTCACTCCTCCGTCACCGCCCAACTGCTCACGGAGGTGAAGGAGGATCGAGCGCCTGGGTCGGATCCGTCACCGGCGTCCGAACGGAGGGGGGTCGAACGGGGTTGGACGCTGCGAACGGTGCTGAAGGCAGAAGTCCAGAAAGAATGAAGCAGAACTCCTTTGGTTTGAATGTCATTATAGTTATACATACTGCCATGTTATATATATATAATAGCTAGAACATGCTAGAACTCCTTTGGATCCAGGATCAACGATCCATCAAGAAGCTTCAACGTTGGTGAACATGTGGGTGGAGCTTGCCTCGAGCCGTTATAAGATGTTTCAACCATCTTCAACCCATGGCCCCTTTACAGTACCTTAATTTGCGCCACTACCTTCACAAGCAAAAACCAACATAACAAAAACACAATGCAAAACATTTATATAAATATACATAACATATATATATATATATATACACATGAAAACATATTTGATAACTATATATGAACGCTCATATACTCTCCCGCTCCCTCTCTCCAGGAGGTTGGGCACCCAGCACTGTCCACTACAAAAAGATCATTTTGTAGGGGGTTAACCCTGCCATTCTGTAGGCTTAATATCATCGAATATGTTCTAGGTACATATATATAAATATATATATATACATACCAGACCCCCCAAAAAACAACCTATATATATATATTTATAGCAGCCATACAGCCTCCTCACCCTTACAAACCACCTGGCCTATGAAGCATCTGCATGTGGGCTCCTAGTGGGTTCCTCAGCGATGTCCTCCATCGATCGCGCGTCAAACACATCGGCCCGTGGTTCTCCCAATGGATCGAGCAGCGCGGTCCGCCGAGCGGCTGACGCGAGGATGGAGACCCAAAGTGGGCTGAGGCGTTGGGGGCGCTGCAGCTGGCGGAAGGGTGGGCGGATTGTATCCTGCGGATGGTGGGCAGATTGGGGTGTTGGAACACTCTGAGAGATTTCACACTGGATCGCCTACCCAATCTGCCTAAGGGGGCCGGAGGAACGGCATGACCGGCAATCCTTTAAGCTTGGCACGATCTTTGACCAGAATCACGAAAGAAAGAACCACACAACTCTTCCACCCCGACATTAATCGGCCAAAGTCCTCTCACCCTACCTTTCAACTCACTTCCACGAACCCAACTTCTCTTCGACCAACGTCTCCCACCTCCCACCCCCGAGAAAAAGCTGACGCTGGCACCAGCCCCACACGGTCCAGTCACCAGGAACTTGCAAATGCCGTTGAGCACCTGGCCACACCCCCAAGTTCCAAGCGTCTGGCCCAAAAGGGCAGGAAAAAACGGCAAATTCTAGCCAAATTCCCTTGTAGTCAGGCTCAAACACATCTCCCCTCACATCCTTTCGCTCACTTGAAAAGCTCATAGCCATCATATTGCCGACCTATTGCGTCCACCACTATCGTGCCCTCCACCTTCTTCCCTCACATCACTATCAAGCTCGTCACCTCTCAGGCCGCGCTGTCTTTTCATGACCCTCTTAGCCCTCGCACCGCTTCTCCTCCCGGCTTCTCACCCGTCCCCCCCGACCGATTCGAACCCGAAAAAGGCACCGATGCCGCGGCACCCCGCACCTCGTGGATGTGCGAAAACTCGTCGGCCGTGAACTTGCGGAGGTCCACGATGTCCTGGAAGCCGATCCATGTCCAGCGTCATTGACTCTATGAGAAAATCGGCCGAACACATACTAAAGTCAGTCAGTCGTCATAATAAGTCGATTTCTGCCAATTGATGCATCATTAACTGAAAATATGAAAGGGTTTAATGTCATGACCACGAGACGTTGAAATATTTTGAGCACTCCCCCCACCTCAGCTTGCAAGGCATTTAGTGTTTCAGTTCAATAAGCAACTGAGTTGAAAAATTCGCGTGGAAGTTCCGTTGACCGTCCCAACTATAGCGGACGTTTTCTACCGAAAGAAGCTCCCAAAACACTGAGGTCTGCCAATCCTGACTCCTCTCGGTGTCTGAAGGTTTTGCTCCAAAAGCTCTCAGAAAACACCGTGGAATCCTTCGAACCCAAAACACGTGAACGTCGCCGAAGCAAACCGTCCCCGCTTGGACCGTCCTTGACCGTGGTTTGATTGGAGCCCCGGAGCGTCAAGATGCCGCGCATGAAGTCTCCGAAGGTCAACGGCTCTCCGTCTTCAAACAAGAGTCGGCCTCGAGGGACCGGTGAGTCACTGGGTCCGGTGAGTCACATGCGGCGCGCTGAAGACTTCCGCGCTGCGGCGCGCCGTCAGCACCGACCGTGGGTCGTGGATGTCGAACGGTTGCTCCGAAAAGGCTCTGGCTCTGACGGAAAAGAAGATCGGCCAGTGAGGAATGTATGGAATGAGAGATCCAAATGGTGCGTGTGGATAAAGTTTCTTGGCAACTGAAGACGCACCATCATGCTGACCCGTCCAGGGCTTGGTGGCAGTTGATGCCAGGAAAGCTGTGCACGTTCTGGACGTACAACCCACGCCTGAAACTTGGTAAATTTATATTAGACTTGGTGATGCCACTTTTCGTGAAGGACCAGTTATGTCAGAAGCCGCCCAAGCGTGCTGGTCCCTGGTCGATTTCACCAGGATGTGAGCCGCCCTGGAACACCCCGGGTCACCACATACGAGTCAGCTGAAAAGGGAAGAGAGTACTGCATGACGTTTTATTCTCAAATAGAATTCCGCACCTTGCATCAAACGGAGACGGAGGTTGGATCAGGTTGGCAGCTTTGTCAACCTCTGCAGGTGATGAGTAGGAAAACAATGATATAGTATGATATAGTGTCAAGCCAGGTTGTTGGAAGGTCCTGTTATTTTCGAACTGAGCCACTAAAGTTGGCCTTTGTCTTTGTTCGACCAACAACTGGGCAGGCCAACTAAAAGAGATCCCACCGTTCCAACTGCTGAGCCCTTTTCGGGGAGGTGCCTTGGTCGAACACGATGAAAACGATGAAAACACACCTGAAACAGCGGATGCCAGTGATGAATTGGGGAACCACCAGTGGCCTACAGATCCTACAGCAACCAATTAAATTATGCAGCGACGCCTATCTTAAGAGATCACATCCTTGGTTTCTGCCAAACCAGGCCACCATAGTCCAAGGCCGCCTCCACATCGACACCCAAGCTGGTCAAGGCCGCCATGGCCTGGCGATCGGCGCCCAACATAACGTCGGCATCTTGAGAGCTTCAGGGTCCAAGCCTCCAGTTGGCCTTCACTCACATAGCTCGCACATTCCAACAAAAGTGAGTCGTAAGTCAGTGAATCTATCGCATCTAGGAGATAATATGAGATAATCAATGTCCTATATGGATAATTAACTAGGAGTCACCCTCTCCACAAACCTCCTGACACATGACACAGGACCCGCCCTCTCCCGGGCGCCTGGGGAGTTCTCAACACATTCCGATACTCTTCCTCTGAAATTCGGTTGTCGCCATCCTGATCCGCCTGTCCTGTTTACACGCGAGCCGGGCGTCATCCGCACGTGACCGAACCGTGACGGACACCGAACCGTTCGCCGGTCAACTGAACGAAGGTGGAAAGCTATCGAGCACAGTCAAGGCGAAATCGGCCACAGCATGCCGAAACCGAACGTTTCAAGCACCATCTCCCACCGATAAGCTGGTCCGGTTGGGGCGGTCGCGGTTTTTCTTTCCGGCGCGCGGCGAGGCAGAAAGGGTCGAGACAATGCCGGTCCTTTGTCGATCATTTCCCAAAGGCACTTCTTGGCAAAGTCCACTTCCAACTGTTCCCGCTCAATGGTCGACACCGTCTTGATGGCCTCGACATCGCGCGACCCGTCGATCTGCATGTTCTTCGAAGGGTCCGATCCCATCCACCGCAGGATCGGAAGTCCATACCCAAAGCACATGGTACTCATACTCTCCCGCCAACTCACATGGAACCCGAGCATGGACCGGTGGTTTCGACCATGTTCATCCATGGAACCCTCTACAACCCGACGTGGTTTTGGGGTTCCATGTCAATCTGCAGGGGAGTATATACATTAATTGAAACTACTCCAAAATGTAGGCAAATAGGTCATTACTGTAAATGTCAGTAATATTATATACATAAAACATGGAATGTCTGGGATACAAATCTCATCAAATCTCACCGGCTTTTTGACTTTCACGCCTTCTGGCTTCTCATGGCTTATCCGCGGATCAAAGGCTGATCCAAGCGAAACCCTTTCGCGCGTCGCACCTCCACCAGCACGCCCAAAAGCATGTTCATCACCTGAGATATGGGTGGGAAGCTCCCACCAAATCATCCAAACACATGATAAGGCGTGGGCCTCATTCAATTTATGATATGTATGACACGAACAAATATCAACTGGGCATCTCTATGCATCTCTCATTGATTCATGATCGATGTATTATCGGCATTCTTCAATTTTGTAAGATTATATAACCACTTCAAACATACCTAGACCATCCAATCAATGTCCAATGGAGATCCACCAGCGCTATAAGGCATTCCATTGGAGACCCCTTTGAGTGTGGTATGCTGGTTTGTGATTCTCCCAGGTCGCTGTTAAAGATCCAAAGAGGATGAAGAAAAGCACCATGATGGCCATGATCCAACTCTCCTGCCGAGTGGAGACGGCTTCCCTCCACTGGGAGGCCGCCCCGGCCACTCCCCATTCACTCGGTGGCTGGCAGTCCTGACTCCCGATCAGTTGGGCATTCAATCTTCTCCCGTGGAGTGTCTGGGATCTCTTCTGAGGCAAAGTGGGAAATGGCCCAATGTTAGCAACCTCTTGGAAGGTTCTCTTCAGCATTGAAATCCCTCTTCGCCACACCCGGTGTCAAGCAGTGTGAAAAAAACACTTGCGCATGGCACAAGCAAGCGGTACCAGTACTACTAAGTTACTACCGATCAATTTCTGCATCACCAGAAAATGGTGACGATGAATGCAAAGTGAAAGCCTGTGAGAAAGCCCACATCTAACAGAATTCATTTCTTGTTTTCCTATGGCATTCTCCCGGCCCAGCCGACCAGCCCTTCGGTGTCTCAGAAAAATCATAAACGTTCGCCGCTGAAAAACTCCTGCGCCACCGCTTCAATGATGAATTGCTGGTCCGTGAGAATGCACTTCAAAATCCTCAGAAGTGTAGAGCCGCTTGGTCGCAAAAATCGCACGAACGTCCGAGCCACTCATGCTACCCTAGGGCTCCAACATACTTCAGGAGGTGGTTCGACCCCCCTGGCATCCACCCCAACCATCGAACCTCAGGAGGTAGGCCAGGAGCCCTAGGGAGTATTCCTTCAAGGTGGATGGTGGCGCTCCCGTTCATGTTGGGGTCATTTCAAGTCGAGAACATCGTCCCCTGCTCACATACTGCTAGCTTGGCCAAGCTTGCACGTCCGTCCCAAAGGACCCCATCTATGACCCTACATTGCAAATTTAACATCAAATACGTGTATAAACCTGGACCATTCTGTCTGGGTGTCCTGGCTGGACTACCCTGCACTACTATGTGGGATCTCCAAACAGGACACCCAGACAGGATGGTCCTGGTATATATATTTTTTAGTATTCTAAGAGTGGATTGAGAGTAGATGGCACAAGTTTCCCCAAGTTCGGAGGTTCATGTGGACCCTCATCTGTCCAAGACGTCTTGGGGTGGCAGTGCGCCATGCTATGGTTGAAACCACTGTAATTACATCGATGTATTTACATGGACGTTCTGGTAACACGTGGATGGCAAGAAAACCACCTCCCATCCGACTGCCCACCTCTTCATCCTCCGTGGATCTGTCCCCGAGCCCCGAACGGGGCGCGACGGCGCGACCGAGGGGCAGGGTCCAAATGGCCGTGCCCATGGACCCGAAGAACTGGCCTTCCAAGGCGGTGCCACGGCTGAACTGCACAAAGGCCACCTGGGAAGAAACCGGATGGTGGTTGAACGGGTGATGACTCGGTTAGGAGAGGCAACAGGAAGGAAGGAACATGGCGCTGCCAGAGTTCGGGGAGACCGGAATTCAACGGTTCAGTCATGTGTAGTTGGTATGCATCGAAGGATGCGTCGGTGGCATCCTAAAAATGGAATCCAACACCCTGATCATGAAGCCTGTGGGCGCCTGTGGGTGATTAGGTCAAGAGCCATGCCAATCTTGAGCAAACCCAAAGATGCTACCACCGCCCGGTGAAGCTTGATGGGCCGAGCTGCGCTAAAGACATACGTGAAGAGCAGGAGCAATACCAAGGTAAAGAACCTGAGCAGCCAAGATTGTCACGAGCAGGTAGCGGGCATCAATGATGAACTCTGACTCTGATGCATCCGATCTCATCACGCAAATGCCCAAAACAGCTGGCCTGGCCTATCAAACAACTGGCCAAATAGCATCAAATAGCATTGATTTCTTCATCGTGAACGTAAACAGATTTCATACGTAGCGCGTGTTGACGTGCATTCATCTGTCTCACACCACGTGGTCCGGTCGAGCAGCACAGAGCGACAGGCCACCATCATTCCTACCACCAGCGTGGTCCGGTCGGGCAGCGTGGTCCGGTGGGTTGGGGATGTCTTTCAACGCGGTAACCATGATGATTTCAGTGGGTTCAAGATGCTTCCAATCGCCCCAAGATGTCCCGAGTGAAGGTTCAACATTAGGAATCTGAAAAAGCGCCAGCTATATATATATATATATATATGGACCTATATAGTTTAGCAATAAGTTTAGCATCTCCTAGCACGGCACAATAGACTAATTCCGAAAGAAAACAGTGTCGATCTATAGTTGAAAGACCTGACACTTGAGGAAGTAGTTTGGTGCGCACTTCTGAAAAGCGGTATATAAAATGACCTTCGGGTGCCAGGAATTCTGCGCATTGCGGCAGGTCATTGTGCTCGGAGCTGCTAAAGGAAAACCATGTGCTTCCTTCAGGTGGACCAGCCTGTGCCCATGCGCCCAGTCGGTGATACAGTGTTGCGAAGCCTTTTGTTTCAATTCCTTTCTCAACCACAAAAACCAAACTGAACCCCATTCTCAGCCTCAAACCAATCCCCAACAACTCGGCCATTCTCCAAGGCCCCCCGTACAGGTCATGGTGCCGCTTCCGGAACAGCATGGAGTGAGTCATTTGACGAGGATCGAGGATCAAACATCCAACTGGCGCTCCCAACATCTCTTGTTCAGCCTTGGAAGACCTAACGCCACAGACGCCCCTGGTCGGTCCTTTGATGAGGATCATCAGCTCCGGCATGAACCGCACCAAACGCGCCATCCGCGCAGTGCGCAGCACCCGCAGCACGCGTGCCACCCGGAGAACAGAGGCGCCACCCGTCATGCCTAGTTGGTCGGAGTTGGGTGATACCAATCAAATCGAGACGAGCCCCAATTGAGCTAGACTGTAGACCCATGCAGAAATTCAAGGCCAACTGGGAGGCAGGAACCTTACATGTCACCATCTTAGAAGAGAGGGATGACCTCAAGACTCACCCGGACTGAGCCCAACTAACCGCTTAGGAGCCCAAACCCTTACATGTCACTATCTTAGAAGAGAGACACAGGCAAATCGGGTTCCAAGAGTGAAGAGGACAAAGATTTGTGTAGAATTGATAGAAGGGGGTAGGTCCCCTTCTATGCGACACACAAGAAAACCTTGGCGAAACCAGTTAGAGCTAAAGGGTCGAAAACCAACATGGAGCCTGCAAATTTGTTGGCTTGTAGGTGGCACACTGTTTCCAGAAAAAGTACCTTCAGGTTGTCAATCTTCCGTGGGCTCAGGGTGCATCTTTCTTCCTGCTTGCGTTTCTGGGAGGCCAACAATTGCCAAACAATGGGATGTGAATAGGGAAAGCATATCAATCTTCCAAACCATCACCAGCACCCGGCATTTGTGCAATTCCCTAGGGCATCAGTGCAAACTGGACATATATAACTGGACTCCTTCCTTCTTATACGCCCCCCCCCCCCCCCCAAAACAAAAAAAAATACCGGTGCCGGGCAGCTGTTGCCGCTCTTGGAGGTCAAAAGGTGTGCGATGGGCACCAGCCACGTTTCGAAGACCATCAAAATGAGCAGGAAAACATCAAACCTCGGATGATGTTTCGATGAATGATAAATGGGTCCGGGCTCGAGAAAAAAGCACAGGTTCTAGGCCAGAAAAGGAGATGTGTCATGCAGTCGCATGAAAACCACAACCCAAAAAAAGAAACGTGTTGTTGATACCCGGATCCCGACCCGACCATGTTGATTACACGGTTCCAAAAGGTTCCAATCGGCTGGGCCGGGGATTCCTGCTGGATGCTGATTTTTTCCTACACTATGGCCATTGCCACGGATCCTAAAACGCCCATCTTTCATACGATCAATGAGAAAACAACTGAGCAAACTAAACGAAATTCTACAATCCACTACCGTAGAACGATCACATGTCACCTCCACGTCTGCCATGGAAATGTCATACCTTTGTGAACTCCAAGCAATATGATGAGGACGGTCTGTGGGCAGTCTATATATATATATATATATTAAAATGAAATATATCCGCACGTGTGTGTATATATATGTATATATTAATCATGATTTATATATCTACTTGTTCACATCTTCAGGTGTTCGAACTTGCAACTGGCATTGAGAATCTGGAGCTTGGATGTGTTAGCTTTGTCTGCGTAAATGCCTTTCACGCACATGTCACGCGGTATGCTTCTGCTAAACTTGACATTGCACACTTGAAATCTACACGCGACAGGCTGGCGGGTCAGGCCTTGGTCGCCCAAAAGTCCGAGACACTTGGCAAACAAACTGTTTCCCACCCACTCATGGCTCTATTCCCTAGTGCAAACCTTTGGCAATTTGGTCGTCTTTAAAATGTCTTAACCCCTGCAGCCGGCTCCAGACCCATTTCATGGCGGCCAAGCATGGACTAGATCATCGAATCACCGAATCAGCCAGGGGGGCATGAACCAAGGATCTTGCAGTGCAAACCAGGTCCTGGTGAAGAGACTGTAGCGAAGGATCAGCTCGCAGGTGAAGAAGGTGCAAAAGAGATTCTCCACCACAATGAAGCCAGCGTCTGCCTGCTCGATCAGGTCCAAGGAACAGCTGGAAACCCATGCCAGCTTCGGTGGGTCCCAGGGTCCCCTGAGGTGGACACCCCACCCAACTCCGACCCTCTACCCCCTGAACTATCTATACACCACACAAAGAATATATGTCATATATTTACCTCCCTCAGTTCCATCCAGCGATGGCCTCCAACCTGCGATGGCCTCCAACTTAATAGCGATGGCCTCTGACCTACGAATTCTTCTGCGCACGAAATTGTATCACTTGCCTCGGCCAAGATGTCAGCGTCATTGAACTCGATGTCCACTGAGATCCTCATGCTCGCGCGCCGCGCCACCCCTGGTGGACGTGTGGATCTCGGGGCCACACGGCCCGGCACGTCGTCCGAGTGTCGGGACGGCAGGGACGTCAGCGTCTTTCACACCTTCGTTTACAAAAGACTCGGGAATGCCAATAAGAAATGCCTTCAGCAGCCTTCAGCAACAGCGTAGAGACCAGGTTCTGTAGGCCAAAGAAATCCCTCCAAATACAGGGTTTCAGCCGAACCGCGGTCCTACTGAGTTGAATGTGTTGGCTCAGTGCGTCCACGAAGGCAACTACACTTACAACAGAATAGTTCGACGCTCCTACAAGAGATCCCAAGGCACATGTGTGTACAGTGTATCATTGAGATCGGCCCACCATTTGTGGTAAACACACACACATATATACTACATATATATATATACATCCATCCAAACCTATATGCCGTCTCGTGCGATTTCTCCGATTCCCCTCACTCCCTCCGGCCCGGGCTTGCGGCCGAAGGCTCCAGACGGCATTCATGAAGATCATGGCCATGGTGGCCCGTTCGAACCAGGGGTGCATCCCCATCCTCACCTCGACCCGTGGCTCTGGTTAAGGCCCATGGCGTTTTTGAAACGTCGCGCGGAGGTGGGCGACAACGTCGTGCGCCGGAAGCACAAAGGAACACGAGCGCATAGAATGATGAATGATGCTAGGCATACGGTTTCAGTCAGGGCTTGTTCTAGCAATTCGTCCCCCAAAAGACTGCCAGAACAAAGACATCTCGCTTGACCACAGGCAGTGCCACTGCAGGAAACAACACAAGGATCTGGAAAGCGCAAAATCATCTGGACCTGTTTTCAGGCCTCTGGTGAATCATTTGGCTGAACCCGGATGAAAAAGAACAACCGGGATCTTCCTACTGCCGAAGTTGGGCTGTTTCGACACCAAGCTGCCTGGCTGAAGAGGCGGAGGGAAACCGCTTCGAATCGATAGGACGTATACCGCATACGAAAAAAACCTGTCGACATCCCTCGGATCTGATTCCCACCTTTGTCGGACGTGTTTTTGTTCCCTGCTCTCATCATCCAATGGCGATTCCCACAAGCCGAGGCGCCAAAATGCCTCCTTCAGTCTGACGCACTGGCGACACGTCCCCTGCTGCAGCTTGTTCCAACTCCTTGGCGAAGTCAAGAAAGAAGAGGCAAAGGGACATACACTCCCAAAAAACAAACATGGACCTGAGAATGGCACCCTGAAAGACTCTTTTCCTCTACAAACTAGTGGTTTTGATGGGGTACTCGTGATCACGAAGTCATGGAATGTTGAAAGAGTCATGCGAGGTTTCCAATCTCCAGTCAAGTCTTGGCACAAACCGGCGTGTCTAGAAGCAAGTTTAGGGATACACTTCATGAGAAAGAAAATGGACAAACACCCAATGTGGGGGAATCGTTTGGAACATTAAAAGATGTAAGTAAGTTTAACATAGTTTACCAGAACGGTTAACATTGAAAATCCTATATATAATCTTATTTGACAAGAAGCATGCGCTGCGCGCTTTCGGACATTCTTCTTGGCCAAGTCTTGATTCAACTGGGACAACCTAAGTGACTGAAGGAGTGTCAAGGAAGTGCCTGGAAATCCCGACTCTGTGGTGCAACACCTCATTCTCGGCTGGTGTCACGCACTTAGCAACCATATTGGTCTCTGAAATGCATCTAAGATATCTTACAAGCCCCTCTCGTGATTGCTATGTCACCTTGGGGTGGGTGCACTGATGCATAGGATAACCAAATAACCTTGCCTCTCACAAACGAATCGAACCATCGAACTGAGCAAGCCACATACCTCCCTTCTGGTACTCCTCCGCCGCATTCAATGCCTTGTCCTTGTCCTCCTTGGTCCAGTTCACATCCGCCTCAGCTGTTGACAGCGAGCCGAGACGTAGGGTCTTCCACTTGCCTTTGCTGCTTTTGCAGCGAACAAGGCCGTCTCTTCGCATCGTGCGTGGGATGAGCATGTGCTCCTCCACCGATTGGAGATGCCTTCCAGCTGGCGCCCACCGGTGGGCTTCAAGCACCACTAGCGTGGAATTGGGCACCCCAATTCATCCCCCAAAGTCCGGACGTGTCCTGCTCCTACCTAATAGGGTACACCCCGCTCCTGACCAGACCCGAGGACGCCGAACGGGCGGTTCAAGTCCTCCACAAGCCCACCCTGGACCACCTCGCCTGCCAAGCTTCTCCATTCTCAGTTACTGGACTGGCCTCCCCACTGTCGGGCTGGTTCACCAACGGGTTCACCGTCTTCTGGATCCAGGACATGCGCCTCCGACCAGAAGCCACATCGGCGGTGCTCGTGCCACATGGTGGGTGCCGGTAGGCTGGAGCCAGGCAGTTGTTCTCCCAAAATTGCGGGGAGATGCTGGGAGTGGAGCTGTGCACAAGCTGACATGGTGGTCCAGACATGTCCAGACAATGTTGCGAAGTTCGCCTGTATTCCGACTGGCCCAGTGCCAGTGCGAACTGTCTGTGACCAAATCTAAAGCCAAGGCAGCCTAAATCCACTGCACGAGACAAGATGGTCATTCCAACCATGTCAAAAGCAAAGCGCCACCAGTAGATGTTCCCCACCCCCACACCCAAAGCCCGCGCCTCTTGCGGGCTTTCTGCACTGATGGCAGTGATGGAAAGGTGGAATTGAAGGAATACCGTTTCACCTCGCCCTTGTCAGCAGAACCTGCCAGCGGCGGGGTCCAGCATCGGCCACAGTTCGGCCACAGTTCAGTTCAAGGGATAGATGGCCTCCAACCCAATAGCGGCGGCCAACTCGGAAGCGATGGCCTTCAACCTAGAAGCGATGGCCTGGCCTCCAACCTAGAATGACGTAGAAGTGCTGGCCTGCAACCTAAGAGCGATGGCCTCAAACCTAAGAGCGATCGCCCAAGATTCTCCAAGACCTTCCTTATACTTGGATTTGCTGAACTAAGGAGCCTGTCTGCAGAAAGACATCACCCAAGTTGGGGACAAATTCCCACCGGGACAACATGACCCGCCGATGAATGACAGTGGTGACAGTGTGTTTCATTGTTTATTTGGATCAATCGCTACTTTAGCTCTTATAAGTTCAACCAAGCTAACAGGGGGGATGTTCATCCTGTGCTCAAATTACTACTGTTGCGACTCTTGTTTTTCTCCATGGTTTGGCAGCCAAACGCCCGTCTGAAAAACAAAAACACGACGCCCAGGCGTTCCAACTCCCAAGGCGATAAGCTGAAAAAGAGTTGAACCTGGGAGCCCCAAAACACAAACACATGCTTCGTGTTGGTCGACTTTGGGAGATGCTGCGGTTTGAACACATTTTTGGTGATAAATAGGTATTTGGTTTGACGGCCATGTGCAGCAAGGGGGCAGGCCCTTTAGATATATAAATGGTTCAAATGCCAAGGGCGTGGGCCGAAAGTAGAGCTACGTAGCTTCGTGAGAGGAGGAAGAGGTAGCATGGGAGCATCGAATTGGGGTCTTTACAGAAGTTTTGACACCAACTCAGTGACAATGCTTGCAGTTTGCAGGGCATTTTTTTTTCAGGCCGCAGTGCCTGGATCTTGCTCTCTATCTTTCATTTCTTTGAGGTGCCAGGTTTTGACCTTCACGCTTCCTCTTGCAGCTGCGTGGGGGACCTGTGAGGGTGTGTTCGCTTCCAGTGATGTGCTGCCACTACCACTCCATCCTCATTGGCTCATCACCCCCCAAAAAGCAACCGCTTTCGGTGGATATGATGCTCTCCAAAAGAGTACATTGTCACCTACTTCATGAATTTATTAGGGTGTCTGGGAACTCCTGCAACTTGGCTCACACAATGTTTCCTTTAGGGATCTACCATGCAATAGACACCCGAGGGTCATGGTGCCTTGTTGTCCGCTGCTCCCGCGCACCAAGGGCGTCCCACCTGCAGTGGAAAGTCCAGGTCAGTGCCATGAGTGCGAAGCATCTTCAAAATGTCCTGAACTCCTGATCCTTTAGATGATGGTATCTTATATATAGTATATATATATGTGTGTTATTTGTTTAATGGTGTGTACTGTATATGTCATATCTTTAGATATCTCTCTCCCTATGTATGTATGTATGTATGCATGCATGTATGGATGTATGTATGTATGTATGTATGTATGTATGTATAGTCATAGTTGTATTCATCTGTGATAAATAATCTATATATTTATACATGTAGAGGATCAAGAACTGGTTTTCGGAGGCAAGCTGCCCTGCAAACCGTGGCCCCTTGCTTGGGTGTTCGTCTGGGACTTTAGAGTTTAAAATTGTTCGTCTGGGACTTCAGACGTCTAAAGGGCTTCTCCTTTGTCTTGCTTGACAATTTAGTTCCTCTGTTGTGTAAGGGGCGTGTGTTGACGCAATGTCATGAGGTCAGTTGATGAAGTACATCATGCGCATTTCACTGGTGAACCGCTTCTTCAATCAGCTTCCTCGGTCTTATAATGGCCCCCCCCCCGGAAACGCATGCACAAGCGACCACAACATAGCAGTTCTAGCAACTAGTTTGACCTTATGCCGCACACTCCAACATCCTTGTTGGTGCTTGGAAGCACCGCTCGCGCCACAGGCCAGGGGTATGATTCCCTGGTTCGGAGATCCTGGGAGCCCCAGGTTCCTTGCGAACGGAACATCGTTTCGCACCACATGGGCTGTGGTAGCTCTCCATTTCACCCTAGAGTCGAGCAACACGTCAAGCACCAAAAATGGTTGTGGGCCCAAGTTGCGGGTCAGTCCAGTGCTTCTCCTGGCCTTGTCCGCTCGCAGCGTGCATCAATGTTGGAGCACCTGAAGCTCACATGGTAGAGGCGCCAAAAATGAGGCCGGACTCACTCCTTCTTTCCAAAATGCTGCAGGATACATTTTACATCCAAAACTATGGCTGCCTTTCCCTTAGATGTTTCCCTTAATTTTCCTTAACTGACACTTTTTGTTGGTCTTCTCCACTGTATTTGTGGCAGGTCGTTTGGGGAACTCGAGAAGGCGACGCGTCTTCCAGAAGACGAAGGAGTGTTTCTCAGATTTGGTGTCTGGGTTGTCCAGCTCGTTCCTTTACGGGTCAAACACCTGACGCGTGGTTTATATAGTAAGAAACGGACTGGAGGCCATTAACTACTACTATAGTAGCAAGAAGCTTGTAGGTTGGAGGCCATCGCTAGTAATGCGCACACAGGATTAAGTAACCACCCCCTATGAATCAATCCCAGCTCGAACCCCCCCCCAATACGAAACCAATTTAAAACCTAGATTTCCACCTTGGCATCACCCTAATAGTTTTTTTCCTAGGCAGCAACCTACCCCTAGTAATCAATCCAGCTGCCCCAGAAAAAAATATACAGTAATAGTTTACTGTTATTGTCTTAATTCTTTATTGTGTTCTTTTTTTGCTAGTATTCAATATCTTCATCTCCTCATCCTGCTCACCAATCCTTTTGATGGCTTCTCCTCAGCTCTCATGCTACAAAACCCCAAAAACTCTGTAGCAAAAGTCTTTCATTTTCCCTTATTAAAACGCTATCAAAATCTTAACTGTTTCAAGCTCACAAAGGGACCCCTCACACAGGCCCTACCCCCCCAATAGTCGCAATAGTAGGACCACCTCCCCCTATTAATCAATCTCAGCTGCCCTTTACTATTATTGTCTTAATTCTTTATTGTGTTCTTTTTTGCTAGTATTCAATATCTTCGTCCTCATCTTCCTGATTCTCACCACCACCTCTCAACTGCCCCATCCTGCTCACCAATCCTTTTGATGGCTTCTCATGGCACAGAATCCCATCAACCATCATCCATCATCAGGTCCAGGTCCTCATCTCATCATCCATCATCAGGTCATCACCTTTATTGGGGGGATGTGGTCCTCAGATACCTCCGATCTCCGACCTTGTTGACCTTGAAGGGGGAGGGGGGGGAGGCCGTTTATTAATCAGGTGTTGCCATTAGTAAGAAAGATCTTCTAAAGCAAAAGGACTAAGAGTCTGTATTAGTACGGCCTGTATTTGCGAGAGCGTGCCAACTGGCCCCCTTGCAGTTGGACTGTCTTCCTCCACCTGCGGCGACCCGCGGCATCGAGTCACCTCAGTATACCTCGGGAGGGCACCGACCCGGCAACAAAGTCCACCTTTCTGTTCATACATCTCAATGCTAAATATGCAAAAAAACAATTCCTAAATGCTACATCTTATTATACCAGGCACTACCTGCCACATCCACTTCATAGGATTACCGATCACCACCGGTCACCACCGGTCGATGAAGAGTCGAACAGTGCTCCGGCCTTGCGGGTCCAAGGCGTTGCTGGTACTTCCACGCGCCAAAGCGGCCGGGCCCATGCCTCCGGTGGAGGTCGCGCGGCGGGAAACCGCGACGCCGGGGGGGAACAGGCCCTGCGCGGGATAGGTGGGTGCATTCCCAAGCCGTGCGGCCCTGCGGGACGTGCACTGGGGCACACGAGTGCCAGTGCTCAGGTAACAGTGCTCTGCAAGCATTTGTTGGAGGCGTGTGAACACTCTTCTTCACGGGCGGAGATGTAAAAGACATCTTCCCCCGAACGCTGCTGCGAGCACACATGTCACATGTCTGCCATGGATAGACCAGTCAAACATCTTCTGTGGCCTAGTCCGAAAATAGATCTTTTCGCTCTGAGGAGTGTGCATGCATTTGGTGCAATTCTGGTGCAATCGTGCTCTCGCCCTCCCTCCGATCAAAGGACCGTGGACGGACCGTGGACAGCACACGGTCCCGTGGTGTGCTGTCCTTCTTCCAAATCTTCCAAAGCCTCCTGAAGCGAATCTCGTCTGGAAAAAGGATCGGTGTGCCTGATTCATGAAGCTTTCTGTTCGAAGCTATTTCCCAACATGAACATCAACACCTTGCCCAGGTCTGTGGGAGGGACTTCGAGGATGGACCCCCGAATGAGCCTGGTGAACGTTTCACCTTGTCCAACTCTTCATCCAACAAGTTGAGCATGGCCTGGTGCGCGGAGTTCAACTTGGGTCATCCTGGTAGACCCCAGCAAATAGTGGTAAACGGTGGTAAACTGGCGGCTTAAGCAGGCTGAATTATTTTGTTGTTGGTCTCAACTAGTTCACATGGCATTTGCTGGTAGAACGTGGCCTAAAAAAAGCCATAGCTGGTACTCCCATTACTCCTTTCCGTGGCGCAGTCTGGAACGAGAACATCGAAACCGTGCGGCCACAAAAAACCCACGAACGACCGCAGTGCAGAATGTGAACTTACACGACGGGACGCGGAGTGCGCTGAGAAGTGTC